AAATTTTTTTTCATTGCCATATTCTTAAGACATATTTGGAAATATTTCTATTAAAAGGTGACATATAGAAATCTATGTGACATATAGAAGGCAATTTTCTCATTCTTATGGGAACCTATAAAAAAATCGGTTATCCCCAACAATATTAACTAATGTTAATATTTCTTAATTAACTAAGTAAGATACAACTCTAGTCTCATATAACCGCCACATGGAAGGGATATTCTATGCACACTATATTCTAAAGACACTAGAAAAAGAAAACTAAAAACAGTTACAAAGTCTAAAATGAGAAGTTATAGTAGTGGATCCTCCATTTTGCACCTAGAAATTAATTCTATATTGGTTAATTGGAAGAATACCTAAGAACACTTGAGCAATAGTTAAGCTCAGAGACTTCAGTTGGAAAAAAGAAATTAGTGAAGACATATTATGCATGTGATCACTCCTGGATAAATGTGTTTTCTCTCATCAACTTCTCATACACTTCAATGGCATTATATATAGTAATGAATTATCTACCATTTTGATGAATAAAAGACTAGAGATAACCCCCATCCCATAATTTAGGCCTCCTGGCAGGAACGGCCAGTCTTCGGAAAAGACATCCGATTGGGGAAGACGGAGGATCAGACAACCAGAAGAAGAACATCCACAAGATAGACTGACGTGGTGAAAAGGACGATGGGTTCGGTCATGCCAGAGATCCCGAGGACGGCACGGGACAGGGCAGGGTTCCCATCTGCTGTCCACCCGGTTGATATGAACTGGAGCCAACGCTACGGCTCATAACATCAGCAACGTAGCTATTTAAAATGGGAATACTTTCTCTCATACTGACCTATCATGCTAATCAGAAGTAAACCAATAATATTTTGGCCAGATTTTCAGCCTAAATGCGATTCGATTACTTTCATTGAGATTTTTCTGGCAAGTTCTGGCAAGTTTGCTGACTCTTAAATAACTGACCCCCCTGATGAGTTCACATTGGCCAGCTGCTCCGTGGAGAAGGACTGGCAATCTCCTCCCATGTGACTAGCCGTCTCTGAAAACCTGTTGGAGTTTCGAGTTATGAGTCAGGTCTGACTCGATCATACACAACAACATCTGGTGAGTTTCAAACCAGGAATTCCTAACCATTGTTATCCATTCTCTGATTGTTAGGCATAACTACTGGTCTGAAGAAAAATCAAGTACATGGGAAATATTACATTCAATTGCTTTGGAGAGTAAAAAAATCAAATAAACACAAAACAAAACCACTCTGGGATTTAAAAAAGTGATAGAAATTTCTCAAAACAAGAATATGCATTACGTTTATTTTTTCTTTGTTTAAGCAGAACTTCCAATAATAAAACAGAAAATAGAAATCTGATTGTTAACAATATTTTTAACTTAACTACGGTTGTGCCTCATTATATAGTAGTTTGAAGACAGAAAATATGTTTCTAATGATGTTAAGTGGTGATATACCAAATGATGCAGTAATCTTCATTTCCATAACAGAGAAGGGAATATAAATAGGCTGAAATCAGAAAAAAATTTCCCCTAAAATCAGATATAGATTTTATATCTGTTATATTTAGAGAAAGTGTGTGATATATGTGAGCATGGTTAATTAGTAAAAGGAACATTTGTGGATTATTTCCTATACTATCGTTGGAAACAAAAGCTGAAAATTGTTATTCAAGATGTAATTAATAAAATGACAATGAGGTTTTGTCTTCCTGTAGTTGACGTTATTTATGAGAAACTCTTTTCGTAGTCTCTCTCTTTAAAACAGTCTATGAGGCTAATTTAGAAACTGCAAGAATATTACATGCTTCTCTCTTTTGCCATTTAGAAAAATGTTGGTTAGTCTCCCATGGAATTCATGTTTTAGCGCTTCAGGCATTAATGTATCATTCCTCTTTATACACAGAGAAAAACTCTTGACTGGCCAAAGAAAGGGTAGGAGTCACTTGTGCTGTTTTCCCACCCCCTGGCAAAGGTAATTCCTGGCTTTTGTGAAGTCTTCTATTTAAAAATCATTTCCTTGATGGTTTTAAAGTAGATGCTTGCAAGTTTAGTGTTATGATGGTGATGCATGCCTGTAATGCGAAACTTCGATAACATGCTCCAATTAAGAAAAAGATTCCGTTACATCTTAAAATATAATCTCACGATCTGTAATTGTGCAATTGAGGTCTGATTTCAAGAAAGATGAATATAGAAAATTAAATTACTTCTGGGTATGTATTTTGGAAGCAGGAGTGGCATTCACTTCCTAAACAATATGCCTCTGGAAACTCTAGGAACTTTGATAAATGTTGAGAGTTGTAGAGGGGCTTCAGGCCTTTTGTTCATAGGGTCGCTATGAGTCGTGCTTGACTCGAAGGCAATCAACAAAAACTATGGCTATTTATATGTCATTTTCTGTAATTTCCAAATCCTCTTAAGTTCCAGTTTAGCTTAGAAAGCCCAATGCTAAGTTTGTGTAAAACAACAATACAAAACTATTTTTTAAAATCAGATAAATGTTTTAGTCTGTTTTGATGTTCATTCTACTTTATAACTGTGTTATGACCAACAAATTAAGCAAGACTTAAAAGAGCTTTAAAGAGCTGTGGAATGAAGCTCAGTTTTAAGCAAGAAATCACTGCCAACATGTAGTTGATAAGTGCCAATGAATTGATTAAGGACTCAGAGCAACCCTATGAACAACAGATCAGAACCTTGTCGTACTCTGAACCATCCTCACAGTCTCTCTCTCTCTCTCTCTCACACACACACACACACACACGCGCACACACACACACAGAGGGAACTCTGGGGGCCTAGAGATAAGGAGCTTCCCTGTCAACCCAAAGACATATGGTTTGAATTCACCAGATCTTCCACAGAACAAGGATGGACGATCTCCTAATTTTCTGCCCTGTGATCAACAACATCTGAAAATTTGCTGGAGGGTTAGGTATGACTGAACAACAGCATATAACAACTATATATATACATACAAATATATATGAACTTTTAGGAACACTCAGTACCTCCTTTAGAAGTTAGAACTCTCCTTTTCTTCCCATCATGACTTAAACTAGCGCTTCATGGTCTAGCCTCTGCCTTGTTCTCTGTCCTACTATTCTTCTCTAGAAATACCTTGACCTTTTTTGAGTCAATCATCTTCTCTGCTCAATGATTTCACATTTGCTCAATATTATGTTTATCCTTCTTTAACTCTTGTTTACCTGCTTAACATTTATATATTCTGTATGTTTATATACAAATGTCACATCTTTGTGGATACTTTATGTCCCTAGTACCCTTTCATATCTCCAATCAAATTAGCTCTATTTTCTGTAACCACCTTTATGTTTTCATCAACACACAGAACAATGATTCAGTAATGAGGATCTGAAAGACATCAGGGTTGCAGAAGCAAAAGAAGAAACTTTGCAATAACAAATAAACAACTTAGGTTGTATAATTAGTGCTCAGCAAATATTTGCTGAATATATTAATGACTAAGTAATCTTAAACCATGTTTTGTAGAGCTCATATTCCTTTTTATTTATGTTATTTTGTCATGGGGATTAAGAGGGGTATATCAGAAACATTTTAATTTCAGGGTTATTGGAAATGGACATAACCTAGAGTAATTTACAAATACGTAAAGAAAAGCCAATGACATGTTTCATAGTATGCAACATGATGAATAAATTGAAGATGCTTGGATTAAAATAGAGAAGGCTCAAAAGGGAACTAAATTTGTCCCAGATCAAGGAAAGACCATCATGTGTCAAGGAAATGTCCAATATTCTCTATACTGAACTGAAATTGGATGCCATACTTCCACATTCATATGGAGACAGACTGAATGAGCATCACCTTTGACTAGTCTAGACCAAAATCTTTTTCTAACCATTGATATTGGTTATTTGAATCACTTAGTGTTGGAAATCAAAGGCCTTGCCTCATACAGCGGTGATAACCCTGAAAGGAAGCATTAGTTTGGCAAATAAGGCAGGCAGCACTGTAATCATGAATCAATTTTACATGTATCCCTTATGCAAATTGAAAACATAGCTAAAGAGACAGACTGTTCGTACCCAAATAACTCTTCAGCTTTTTTGGGTGTGTGATTTATTCAACAGAACTTAATTTCCCCCCTCTCTCTTTTCTTCCTGTCATTCACTTTTCTGTGTATATTTTTGAAAACAATTATAGCTATTATGATGGGAAAGTCTGCGGTTAGGGACCTCTCTAAAGTACTCAAGAGCAACGGTGTCTCTCTGGAGAGTAAGGTGTGCCTGATACAGGCCATGGTCTTTGCAATCACTTCTTATGCATCAGAGAGTTGGACAATGACTAGGGAGGATAGAAGGAGAATTGACGCCTTTGAGCTGTGGTGTTGGAGAAGAGTATTGAATGTACCATGGACTGCCAAGAAAACA